ACATATGTTTTAGTATTTTTTCATATTCGTTGAATGGTTGGAAGACCAAAGTGGGCACAAAGTTCATTAACCATATCCACATTTTCAATCTATTAATTCTCCTCAATGGTCTTCCATGCAACTCGGACTTGAACCTCGCCCCACCATACTTTTTCTACAAAACTAAATGGAAAATAAAAACTTTTGTGCTACTAACTGAGATGGCCCGTCAACCAGGGTCAACCCTGTAAGCTGGTTATCCGCTGAGCCATGGGCCGAGTCAACTCACCAGTAGTTTATGTGGGATCGTTTGCTAACCCAACGAGAGGGATCACGAGTTGTGGTCTTGAACCCGTAAAATCGGCTGGCGACACGATTAAGGTCCATCGGTGTGATTATGGACCATTGACTAAATTTGTTTTTATATGACATAGATCAACTGTATAATAATAATAAAAAAAAGTAAAAATTAGAAGCGAGTCCTCTTATATGTATTTGTTTGGAGATAAGTCATGTAAGGAAACATATAAGGGGTTAAGTCCATGTTTAAAATTATATGTAATAACTTAAATCTATTTTTTTTAATCTCAAAAATACCATTTCTTAAAAGACATATTTATTTATATCTATATAATAAATAAGTTTCCTTGACGGACTTAAGTTTAAACAAGTCTATATAGGAGTATTAGCTTTCAAATTTCCCTAAAAAAAAAGTCATTAGGGTAATTGGATTTTTACGTAAAATTTCTCAATTATCCCAAGTTTTTCTCGCATTATCTTTCCTTCCTGGTCTCTCTCTCTCTCTCTCTCTCACACACACACACACACTCTCTCCTCTAAATTTATATTTAAAACATATTAAATTTTTTAATAACAACTATTCCCCAAAACAACTATATTTCATATCTTTAATTTATCAAAACAATGAGTAATTTTTTAAAAATACTAAGGTCCCCGTGGGCACAGGGTGGAGGGGGGTTGGGAGTGGCGATGGTGGTAAGGATGATAGAATTGCATTAGGAGAGATTGAAAATATTGTCTAACATACTAGGCACCGCTAGTTTCCCATCTAACCAAATGTGATAAAGAATAAATAAAAATACTATTTGAAACTTAATTAATTAGATTTATTGAACTAAAAGTGAATTTATGTAATATTAGAATTCACAATTAATTCAATTACTATACTGAATTAGATTTTAAAATTAAGTCTAAGTAAATAACCATGTATTTAATAAATATTAAATAAACCCATCAACGATTCGAACATGAACCAAGTCAGATCGGTGAAATAAATTCTTCAACGGCTCAAAACTATACAAGTCTTTAGCTGACTACTTATTGGACCATCTTGACAATGTCTCGTGTAGAACACAAACCCCACCAGGCTTTAACGTTGGTTCAATCTCTCCAACGGACTTATCTGGATATAGCACATGGTCAAACACATTCGAAAAGAAAGTCTCATCATTCAACGATTCGTAGACAGAGCTTGCCAGCCTGCCCCATTTTCTACCTCTTCGCATGATGCTTTATTTTAGGGCAGCCTAACATAAAGGCCGCTCCAGAAATTACTCATGTAATTTAACTTGTGTTTGATTTATGAACTCTATTTACTAATTTTATATTCAGTTTCCACCTTTAATCTTCATTGGGCCTATTAAAAATGGCTCTTTCTTGTATGTTCCTTGATCTAAATCAAATAAAATATAACTTACTTAATATAATATCATACTTTGACCAAAAAAATAATATAATATCATCCGAATTAGAAATAGGGTGAAGATCACATCCTCTTGATTAATCATTACAAGATTGGGTGTGTATCAGGGGCAGTCTGACCCAAATTCCAATTCTACTTGAAAATATACGATGAGACCCAATGACAAAATAATTATTCAAATTAATTTAAAAATATTTTTCTTATTTTTGAGATATAAAAATATAAACTCATATTTTCAGTATTTACATAAAAAAAAAATAGGTAAGACTGAAAAAACAAAAAAAGGTAATAAAAAAAATTTAGTTGTGTAATATCAAAATTAACTCAATTTATACTCGTTTCATTTATAATCTTTATTGTCATAGTTGCACGATATATAAATCGTGTTAATAGATTTATTTTATGTTTAATTAGATCTATGTTAATTCGTTTATTTGAGAGGCTTAACAAGTGATGGGCCAAGCCCAAAGGCCCAACTTATGTTATAAGTATAGTTCGACCTAAAGGCCCAATTTCAAGAGATCCAGCTAGTTATGTCCAAATGAGTCTACACCTGGATAACCTTATCAAGATCAAGGAGCTACATCAGCAGGCGAGCATGCACGATCATCCAAGAGTCTTCTCTACTACCTTGGAATAAGGGTCATCCAAGAGTCTCCTCTATCACCTTGGAGTAAGGGTCATCCAGGAGCCTCACCCTCACCACCAAGGGAGCATTCAGGAGCCTCACCTTTG